CAACTTGGCTTCTGCTTGATTTGTTGGGTGTGGTCTTGTTGAGCACCCTTGGGTGCGAACAAAGATATGTGGTGGCTCGTACTAATTTTAATGTACTTAACAGTCATTGCTATTCCATGTATTTGAACCTATGTAAATTTGAATTTTCAAAGGATCCGAGGCAGTTTTATAACTTTGTTAATGCTAAGCGTAAGTCTTCAGCATTGCCATCATCAGTACGATTAAACTCTATTGAGGCATCTACGGAAATTACAGATTTATTTGCTGAATTCTTCCAATCTACTTATAGTTTTGTTTCTTGGTCTAATTCTAGCTACCCTAACCACTTAAACAGGGCAAATTGTATTTTTATACCCGTTACTCGTAGAGTAAAAGGGTATACTAGATTCGTCGGAAAGTATGTAACAGGCAGAAGGAAGCGTTTCCGACCCCACAGAGTATGTATATTCTTGATCAGGATCACTAGCCGAGTCGATCTAGCCATGTCCGTCTGTCCGTCTGTCTGTCCGGATGAAGAGTGCCACGCCCACAAACCGCCCAAAACTGTGGCTCCTACAGTTTTGATGCTAGAATAAAAATTTTAACTGAAATGTTTTGTTCTCATCAATACCTATCGATTGACCCAAAAAAAAATTGCCACGCCCACTTTAACGCCCACAAACCGCGAAAACCTGTGACGCCCACAATTTTCATGCTAGATAAAAAATTTAACTGAAATGTATTGGTCTCGTCAATACCTATCGATTGATTGCCACGCCCACTCTAACGCCCATAACGCTTAAATCTGTATACCGCCGCTAGGTGGCGCGTTTTAATCTCGCTTTTCTGCTTGCATATCTCCATTTAGCTGAGTAACGGGTATCTGATAGTCGAGGTACTCGACTATAGCGTTCTTCCTTGTTTCTCCTGTAATCACCGAAAGTTCTCTCTTAAGTGATTTAGAAACTATAACGCCAACCTATTCTCCGGGGCCAGATGGACTTCCTGGGTGTGTTCTTAAGTTTTGTGCCCGAACTATTTGTAAACCCATTCTTAAACTTTTCCATTTGTCTATCTCATCATCTGTTTTCCTACTATCTGGAAAGATTCTTTTATTATTCCACTCCACAAAAAGGGTGCGAAGGTTAGTGTTCAGAACTATAGAGGAATCTCCAAATTGTCTGCAATTCCTAAAACATTTGAACGCATTATTACCTCTTAGTTGCAACATTTGTGCTCCTCTTTAATATCGCCGTGTCAACATGGTTTTGTTAAGCGTAGATCGACCACCACAAACGTGCTCGAATTGACATCTTTTGCACTAGATGGATATTCAAATTAGATCAGCTCGGGTTTCCGAATAATCTGGTAACTTGGACTTCAAGTTATTTGAATGGTAGATCTCAGAAACTTTTATTCAAAAACACTGTATCCAAGATGAGTAACGTGACATCTGGAGTGCCTCAGGGCAGTCATTTAGGCCCCTTGCTGTTTACTCTGTTTATAAATGATCTTCCCTCTATCGTAACTCACTCTCGTATACCAATGTATGCTGATGATGTTAAGCTTTGTTTATTGTTATGTTTAGTTCTCCTAGATCCTAAACTTAAGTTTGACTCCCACATAACTTCTACTGTAAAAAAGCTATGAGTGTTCTTGGGTTTATAAAGCGTTGCTCTAAGGAATTTGATGATCCATACACTACCAAATTATTATTTATTATTTTATTTTATTTTATTAATTTAGAATACTGCTCTTCCGTTTAGAGTATTTATTTATTTATTTATTTATTTATTTATATCCTAGCGCTACAAGTGCAAACTTATAATTATCGGGCTAGTCACATTGAGTTGATATTTTATATTATTATTATTTTTAAGTTATTAAAACAATTTCTCTCGCTTTTAATTAATATTAATGACTAACATCAAATTTTCGTAGTTTCTTAGTTACAATTATTATTGTTTTTAAAATATATATATTTTTATTTTTTTATTTTTGTTTTGTTTTTTTTTTTGTTTTATTTAATTTCATTTAATTTTTATACTTATGTGTACTGGTATTTTAAAAGTTCTTTAACTTTATTGTAAAATTGAGTTGCGCTCCTAATTGTTTTGTATTGGTGCGGTAGATTGTTCCATAGCCGGATACCATTTAGGAAAAATTGCCTTCTCGAACACAGTGTTTGTATTCGAGGGCATATGTAATTTTTGGTTCTTACAGATGTGGCTGGGGTAAGTTTATTGAAAAGATATTTATACCCGTTACCGTAAAAGGGTATACTAGATTCGTCGGAAAGTATGTAACAGGCAGAAGGAAGCGTTTCCGACCCCATAAAGTATATATATTCTTGATCAGGATCACTAGCCGAGTCTAGAATAAAATTTTTAACTGAACTGTAATGCTCTCATCAATACCTATCGATTGACCCAAAAAAAAGTTTGCCACGCCCACCCTAACGCCCATAAAATGCCCACAAACTTCAAAAAATCGTAAATATGAACGTGGATATCTCGGAAACTATCAAAGATAGAGAATTGGGATTTCAGATTTAGATTCCGTAGCCTTATACGCAGCGCAAGTTTGTCACGCGAATATGCTACGCCCACTCTAACGCCCACAAAGTGCGAAAGCCTGTGACGCCCACAATTTTTTTTGCTAGATAACAAATTTTAACTGAAATGTATTGGTCTCGTCAGTACCTATCGATTGGTCCAAAAAAAAATTTGCCACGCCCACTCTAACGCCCATAACGCTTAAATCTGTATACCGCCGGTAGGTGGCGCATTTTAATCTCGCTTTGCTACTTGCATATCTCTATTTAGCTGAGTAACGGGTATCTGATAGTCGAGGTACTCGACTATAGCGTTCTTCCTTGTTTGGTTCTCCACTCGTCACTATTTTGTGAAAGAAGATTAAAATTCTGAGATCGATCCAGGAGGTCAAGTTAAGGTCAAGTATTTTATATGTCAGTTCTGATACATGGTCAAAACGTCTTAAGTTAAACACATAACGGACAACTGAATTAAAAGCTACAGTTAATGTACGCAAAGCCCGCGCATCACAATTTTCAAAAATTTCTATGCCGTAAAAGAGAGTGGGCAGGAGGATAACTTTGGCGATTAAAAGTCTAACTTCCTCAGTTAAGAACGATTTAGAGAATGAAAATTTTCTCAGCAGAGCATGTGTACGCCCTGTCGCTTTGACTATATGGTTGCTCCATGATAAAGTATTGTTAAATGTTATGCCTAGATTAACTGCATTCACTTCATAGCTTATCGGCGTATGGTTTATATATAATTTTTGGAGTGAAAGTGTTGAAAGTTGCATTTTACCAATTACCAAGCACTTCGATTTTTTAGGATTTATACCCAAGCCATTTTCCTTTGCCCATTTTTCAATTAGCCACAACATTTTATTACTTATACGTACACAGTCATGTATTTCAGTTACGGGTGCCTAGCACAGATCCCTGTGGCACTCCCCTGGATAAGTTCCGGAGAGAAGAAACTTGCGTTCCAGAGACGACTGCTTGAAACCTATTCGTTAAGTACGACCTAATAAGCTTCGTCGCATTAGTTGAGAAATTAAACATATTCCTAAGCTTGGTACAGAGAATGTTATGATTCACAGAATCAAAAGCCTTGCTGTGGTCAAGGAGCGTCAAAAACGTTACGCAGTTACTGTCCAGTTCTTGTCTTATATCCTCTACAATATTAGTGATTGCAGTAATGCAACTCCTTTTTTTACGGAATCCTGATTGTTTTTCGTCAAGTAGAGAATTATTAGCTAAGTATAGTTGAATCTGTGAGGACATAAGGTTTTCAAAGACTTTTGATAGAAAAGGTAATATTGAAATAGGTCTATAGTCATTGTTTGGCTTAGGAATTAAGAAAATTTTGGCGTTTTTCCATATTAACGGAAATGAAGACGTTGTAATAGCCGTGTTAAAAATATATGTAACATGGGGCAACATTAAGGGGAGCAAAAGCTTAACAAATTTTGGACTCATATTATCGAGACCAACAGCATCGGACTTGACATGCAGAGTACTAGCTAGGACATCACTTTGGTTTATAGATATAAAGCTAAAACTATTATCACAGAGGTGTTGAGTATTCAGGTACGGATTGCATGTTGCTTCAGGTACATCTATTTCCCAAATCTTTTTGTTTATTAATTCGACATCCACCTCAGGCTCTGTCTGTTGCTTACATTTTCCAATACCTAACCGTTTTAGTTTGTTCCATCTGTTTTTTGAGTTAACACAATTATTAAATTGTATGTTATAATGCTCTTTCTTTGCTGATTTTATCTTTTTGTTTACTTTTACCCTAGCCTCTTTGTATTGTTTTCGAAATTCATCAGTTTTGTACCGCTTCCACCGGAGGTAAGCTACATCTCGTTGACGGGTTAGGTTTTTAATTTCACTACTGAACCATGGATTTTGCATTGGCTTAATCACCTTGGTCCCTAGGGACACAAACTTGTTGAACAAATACTGGACATTGTTGGTTAAAACCTCTAATTGACAATCTACATGACGAAGATGGTAAATACATGACCAGTCACAACACAAAAATTCCGTTTTTAATTCATTATAGTTTATATTTTTGTAATCTCTATACGTAAAAGAATTGATTTTGCTGTCAAAGGTCAAGTCGTATGTTAAAAATATTAGGCCATGTCTGGAGAAGGCTGGTACACAAACCTGGTCATAATGTATGATTTTGCTACACAGAGAAAAAAACGGAACAATACCCGTTTGATATTGTCTCCTCAATTTTCACATATCAATTTTTTCATATCAAAATGATTCGAATTCATATCAATTTGATACGAAATCATATCAACTTCAAATGTTAATATAAATCCGTATCATAATGATATGAATTCGAATCATTTTGATAAGATTTCATATCAAACGTAATATCGAAAAGTCTTCGAAAAAATAGTATGACTATAAATTCGTCCTTTTTGTGTATATTCTGTGTACAACGGTATAATTACGCTTTGTATGCGGTGGTCCCACTTTTATTTACTGCGTCAATTTTAGTGTAAAACGTGACAAAAGAAAAGTTTAAGGTGTTTATAAATGTAATTACTTGGTAAGTATGTATAATTTTAACTAAATTACTTTATTTGTGCATTAGTTTGACGAAGTACCATGGAGGATCCACTTTTGCTTCAATTCCTAACGGACCACGAGGTCAATTTGGTTGTGCTTGACCTGCTTTTAGGTTTTTATAAATCAACATATGTGCACATATATATACATGTGTGCACATATATATATACACATGTGTAAGCCATTATTAGTTGAGACTTATTTTTGCAATATATTCCTAGAGTGTGGATACAACTACGAAAGGCTGCAGTACATTAGTGCTTCAGATCTTGATTTAATATTTTCCAAGAGAGAACATCTTGGTCTAAAATCCGAGTTCCGCGAGAAGCTCCAAAAACGGAAGCGAGCACAAGTAAGTTTAATTTTTAATATTTTCATAACAGGTTGTAATAATTTCAAATTTTAGGACATTGATGTCTGCGCAGGGGATACGACACCAACATATAAAGAAAAGGTGACATCACAACAAAAGAATTTTTTGTGAGCAGCTTAAATGAGCATTACCAATCCTATGAAATTGGCTCACTTATAAATAATACTAATATAATAAATATTAACGAATTTGAAGGCCCAATTCATGTATATTACACACCAACTGGTCTTAAAATGATAAGAAGAAAAATATTTTAGTTTATTTAATTATGACAAGTAATTTTAGGTTACAATTATTTTTTATATGTAACATAAGACTTTGAATGAAAATAAATTTTAAATAAAACTACAAATTTGTTTCTCTCAATAAAATTATTTTAATAAAAAGCTGGGTATGAGTTAAGTGTCGAATTGATTTGACAAAATATCAGTTTGATATGAAAGCATATCAGTTTGATGTGAAAGCATATCAGTTTGATATGAAAGCATATCAGTTTGATATGAAAGCATATCAGTTTGATATGAAAGCATATCAGTTTGATATGAAAGCATATCAGTTGGATATTAAAAACAAGGAAGAACGCTATAGTCGAGTACCTCGACTATCAGATACCCGTTACTCAGCTAAATAGAGATATGCAAGCAGCAAAGCGTGATTAAAATGCGCCACCTACCGGCGGAATACAGATTTAAGCGTTATGGGCGTTAGAGTGGGCGTGGCAAATTTTTTTTTGGATCAATCGATAGGTATTGACGAGACCAATACATTTCAGTTAAAATTATTTATCTAGCATGAAAATTGTGGGCGTCACAGGTTTTCGCGGTTTGTGGGCGTTAAAGTGGGCGTGGCAAACTTTTTTTTGGGTCAATCGATAGGTATTGATGAGAACAATACATTTCAGTTAAAATTTTTATTCTAGCATGAAAACTGTAGGAGCCACAGTTTTGGGCGGTTTGTGGGCGTTAGAGTGGGCGTGGCACTCTGCTGAAACAAACTTGCGCTGCGTAAGAAGCTCAGGAATCTGCACGCCAAATCTCAATAGCCTAGCTCCCATAGTTTCCGAGATCTCAGCGTTCATCCGGACGGACAGACAGACGGACAGACGGACAGACGGACAGACGGACAGACGGACATGGCTAGATCGACTCGGCTAGTGATCCTGATCAAGAATATATATACTTTATGGGGTCGGAAACGCTTCCTTCTGCCTGTTACATACTTTCCGACGAATCTAGTATACCCTTTTACTCTACGAGTAACGGGTATAAATACCACAATTCGGTCACAACTTTGATATGTGCTCATATCAATCTGGTATGAAAAATACCAAATTGACATGTTCGAAAATATCAATGTCATATGTTCGAAAATATGAATATGATATGGCAACATAAGGGATCAAAATTCATATGAAAAAATACCCGATTGATGACCAGTTTTGGTATTTTTTTTTCTCTGTGTAGGGTCATTGATAAGAAATAAGTCAAGTAATGTATCACAGTGGCTGCTATCGTGCGTGGGAATCGTTTCGTTTACGGAAAACAAGCCTAGGGATTTAAAGTTATCTACGAGATGACTTTCTGACAATAGGTTGCTGTTAAAATCACCTGCCAATATGATGTCAGTGTACTCCAACGAAATGTCTGAAACAACATTAAGTAATGACCCGTAGTCAATTGTCCGATTCGGTCTATATATGCAGCCTAGAAGGGTTCTTCCATGGGATTTATTGGGAAGTTCTAATAGAATGTATTCGATAGTACTGTCACTTGGCTGTTTAAGTACCACTTTACATTTCAGTATATAGCAACACCTCCTGCATGACCAGTACGGTCGGACCGATAAACATTAAAGCCTTCACAAATAATAGACGAATCACATAGATCATTTACAAACCACGTCTCAGACACACATGTCACATCGACATTAGACTGAGTGAAAAGGAATCTAAACTCATCAATCTTCTTTAGCAAACTTTGTGCATTTAAGTGAACAATTTTTAGACCAATTTTATAACTACTTATAGTTTTTATCATGGCACTAGCTATGGAACAAACTTCCTCATCCTGCATTGTTGTTATCAATGATTATTAGGGGCGCAATCTCAATATTCAATGCGTATCTTATACATTTCTTAAAGTAAACTAGTTTTAAACCTATCTTAATTAAGATAATACGATTTATACGCTTAAGAACGAAAGCTATCAGCTTCAGGTCCAGCCGAAGAGTTAGTGAGAGATGTAGAAAGTGGATCAGGCGAAAGATTAATGGACGAAAGTTCCTCCATACTGTTAATGCAACAGACACCCTCTCTTCGAGTGCAGCGTACGTGCACAAGGCCGCGCCGTGTAAAGACAGCCGTAAGGATTTTATGTTTTTTTCATACGCATTGCCACTTTAAAGATGAGATAAAGCTCTTTTAACAATTGCTCATTAATATAAATTAACGCTAAATTAACGATTCCTGAGCTTCTTACGCAGCGCAAGTTTTTTTCAGCAGAGTGCCACGCCCACTCTAACGCCCACAAACCGCCCAAAACTGTGGCTCCTACAGTTTTGATGCTAGAATAAAAATTTTAACTGAAATGTATTGTTTTCATCAATACCTATCGATTGACCTAAAAAAAGGTTTGCCACGCCCACTTTAACGATCACAAACCGCCCAAACCTGTGACGCCCACAATTTTCATGCTAGATAAAAAATTTTAACTGAAATGTATTGCTCTCGTCAATACCTATCGATTGTTAAAAAAAAATTGCCACGCCCTCTCTAACGCCCATAACGCTTAAATTTGTCTACCGCCGGTAGGTGCAGCATTTTAATCTCGCTCTGTATCTGATAGTCGAGGTACTCGACTATAGCGTTCTTCCTTGTTTCTCCTGTAATTTCTGAAAGTTCTCTCTTAAGTGATTTAGAAACTATAACGTCAAACTATTCTCCGGGGCCAGATGGACTCCCTGGGTGTGTTCTTAAGTTTTGTGCCCGAACTATTTGTAAACCCATTCTTAATCCTTTTCAGTTGTCGATCTCATCATCTGTTTTTCCCACTATCTGGAAAGATTCTTTTATTATTCCACTTCACAAAAAGGGTGCGAAGGTTAATGTTCAGAACTATAGAGGAATCTCCAAATTGTCTGCTATTCCTAAAACATTTGAACTCATTATTATCTCTCAGTTGCAACATGGCGTGTCAACATGGTTTTGTTAAGCGAAGATCGACCACCACTAACCTGCTCGAATTGACATCTTTTGTACTAGATGGATTTAACAAAAAATTGCAGAAAGACGTTATATATACAGATTTTAGTAAAGCCTTTGACTCTATAAACCACTCTCTTCTTTTATTCAAATTAGATCTGCTCGGGTTTCCGAATAATCTTTTAACTTGGATGGTAGATCCCAGAGGGTTTTATTCAAAAACGATGTTTCCAAGTTGATCAACGTGACATCTGGAGTCCCTCAGGGCAGTCATTTAGGCCCTTTGCTGTTTACTCTGTTTATAAATGATCTTCTCTATCATAACTCACTCTCGTGTACTAATGTATGCTGATGATGTTAAGCTTTGTTTTTCATATAATAATATTGAGTCTGGTTTCTGCTTTCTGCTGACATTAATAGATTCCAGGAATGGTGTCAGTACAACCTTTTGAATTAAAACTATCTTAAATGCAAGGTTATTACTTTTTATAGGGGTACGCCAACGATCATAAGTTACTCACTTCAGAACATGTCCCTGGGCCGAATATACTCAGTAAACGATTTTGGTGTTCTCCTAGATCCTAAACTTAAATTTGACTCCCACATAACCTCTACTGTAAACAAAGCTATGAGTGTTCTTAAGTTTATAAAGCGTTGGTTTAAAGAATTTGATGATCCATACACTACTAAATTATTAATTACCTCCCTTGTCCGTCCTAATTTAGAATACTGTTCTTCCGTTTGGAGTCCTCAGTATCAAGTGCACATTGACCGTATAGAGTCCGCACAGAAACCATTTCTTCTTTTTGTCTTACTTGGTTTGACAGGGATCAAAACGTCAGGTTGCCTTCTTACTCGAGTAGATTGCTATTAATTAATTTGCCTAGTCTAGTAAGCCGTAGAATTATGCTTGGTACTCTTTACTCGTAGAGTAAAAGGGTATACTAGATTCGTCGGAAAGTATGTAACAGGCAGAAGGAAGCGTTTCCGACCCCATAAAGTATATATATTCTTGATCAGGATCACTAGCCGAGTCGATCTAGCCATGTCCGTCTGTCCTTCTGTCCGTCTGTCCGTATGAACGCTGAGATCTCGGAAACTATGAGAGTTACAATACTGGGATTAGGCACGCAGATTCCTGAGATTCCTGCGCAGCGCAAGTTTGTTTCAGCAGAGTGCCACGCCCACTCTTACGCCCACAAACCGCCCAAAACTGTGGCTCCTACAGCTCCTTTTGATGCTAGAATAAAAATTTTAACTGAAATGTATTGTTCTCATCAATACCTATCGATTGACCCAAAAAAAAGTTTGCCACGCCCACTTTAACGCCCACAAGCCGCAAAAACCTGTGACGCCCACAATTTTTATGCTAGATAAAAAATTAATTAATAACTGAAATGTATTGGTCTCGTCAATACCTATCGATTGATCCAAAAAAAAATTTGCCAGGCCTACTCTAACGCCCATAACGCTTAAATCTGTATACCGCCGGTAGGTGTCGCATTTTAATCTCGCTTTAGTGCTTGCATATTTCTGTTCAGCTGAGTAACGGGTATCTGATAGTCAAGGTACTCGACTATAGCGTTCTTCCTTGTTATGAATAATCTTATCGGAGGCGATATTGATTCTGTAGATTTGGTATGCCGCCTAACTTTCAATGTTCCTGTTAGACTAATGCGTAACTACTATCCTATCAGCTTGCCACGATGTTCATCTAATTTTAGTCAGCATGAGCCCTTTCGCGTTCTTTCTAATAATTATAACCCAAGTCTTGCCCAAGTCAGTTGGCCAAGGTCGGGTCTCTCCGCGGAACGAGGAGGGGTATAGACGCTCGTCGCGGGCACGGGGACGCTGTTTATTGCAGTCGGATCGCGTCGCGACACGGGTGATTATGGGTATCACGGTGCCGGACCACAGGCGATATGGACTGTGTGAGTAGGGGTGCCGGATACTCGTGTAACCGGGGTCAACAGTGTGTTGAGGTCACGCCGCGGGATCAGGAGGATAATGGCACACCTGTCGCTAGCA